TTTCTTTTTCTCTCAGCTGGACGATTTCGAAACTCTCTTTCAGGATAATGGAAACGATTTTTGCATCCATAAATGGGTTTCGGAAATATTTGCCAATCTCTTTCGCCTTCCTTCCTTTTCAGTCACTCACCGATCACTTCTTTTTGAAAAGACGCCCTCAATTCTGTATATCAGAATTTAGCAACGCCGCCGTCACTTCTTGATCCTCATTTGCTAGCGAAAAACCGGATGAGTAAGGGAGGGAAGGCGAAGAGGGGAGGGGGTTGGGAGAAGAGGATGGGAGGAGAGGGGACAAAACCAGAATTGAGCGTGCTTTTTAAGCTTGTAGCTTGAATTAAAATGGGCTTCAGCTAGTATTCTTGCTTCCCCGCAATACATGTTTTTTTGAGATACTTTCGAGGATTTCGTGAAAAATTCTCGTAATTTCAAAAATTGATGAGTAGTGGTTTCTGGAATTTCGTCGAAAACTCTCGAAATTTCGAAGATTAGTGAGTAAAGTCTTTGGGTAAATCCATCAAAAAGTGTAATAGGAGGCAACAAAAATCCTGTAAATTGCATTAACTGAAAACCAGTTTCATGGGCGAGTGCAACAGGTAACTCCAGCTTGCCCCATAAATTTTTTTTTGACAGATGACCTAGTTTTTCTCCAGAAAAATTCGGCATCGGAGGTCATAGGGGGGTATTATGAGATTGATTTTTTGATATATACAGCAATATCTAGTTACGCACATGATACTCATAACACACAAACACTCGTGCACCCACACACACACTCATAGAAATATAATTGTGCACACACAGACACATCCGCACACACCCACTTGCACACACAGGTGTATTGGAGTAGTGCACATTAGCAATAATTGATTTCTATCATTTTTTGTTAAAGAAAACTAGTATTTTCCGCTTGTTTTTTTTTCACACGCTTTGTGCTTTTCCTAACTTATCAACGCGGTTATTTTTTACAAAAAATAGCAGACGATGAGGAAGAGGAGGGGAAATGAGGGAAGGGGAGGAGGAGGAAGAGAAGTCGGTGATAAGGGAGCCATAAGGGAGGTGTAGGTGATAAGGGACCTTTTACCTCTCTTTCCCCTCTTTTGGCATTCGTGATGTAGATTGTTTTGAAGATGTTTTTTCATGAAAATAATTTTTTTTAAACTTCCTGAAAATAACTTTTTTTGGAGTTCATGAAATAATTTTTTTTGGAAAATAGTTTTTTGGCTGATACTTCTGGAAAAGGAACTGGGAGTTGTCCTCATCCTCGGCTAAATTCTATTGATGTCCGGTTTTTTTATTTCCTCCACCGACTGTCACTCGTATTTCCTCGTTATGGATAACAGATCACGATTCCTAGAGATCTAAAGATAGTGAAAATGAAAGACCGGATTTCTCCGCAGATTCATATCGTTTGCAAAAAGGAACTTCATTCGTGACACCATCACCAAGTATCAGATGTGGTATAACATCCGTCGCTGTCATCCTTTCGTCCAAAACTGTCAACCTAAAAAAGCTAATTATCCTAATATTGAACCATGGGGAATTCTATTTTTTTTACATTTATTAGAGTTTCAAAAAAAAAAATCAACTGCCAAAATCACGTGTGTGGAAAGCGAAAAGTGTAAAAAATGTCTAAGAAAGGAGCGGGGTTGAAATTTCATTAAAAAATAGAGAGTTTCTTTAGAGAGAGTCTGTTTGAGTTCCGTTTATGTATCTGAGAGAGTTCAGTTTGCTGTGGGGGCAGATTATTAGTTCGTTCAAGTCTTTCCCTCCCCCCTCCCCCTCCCCCCTTTACAGCGACACAGGCACCAGTGCTGTAAAAGCCCAGGTCTAAAGATAAAACTAAAACCTGAAGTAACTCTAAGTAGCAGTGTTACAACTTCCTACTTTTTGCTTATTTCCGGAGTGGGAGAGTCCCCTCCTTCTCTTCCACCCCGTCCCCCGTCCTTTCCAGGTGTTTGTCCTGGACTCGCCTATGGTTGAAGGATTGCTTTTTTTCTGGGGTGGAGGGGGAGAGGAGGAGGAAGGGAGGAGGTGGGCTTGAAACCGAAGGTTGGACTCACGTCATTGAAGCCGAAAAAGCTATTACGTCATCTTGTAAACACAAGCTTTTTCCGGTTTATGTTAATAGTTGTCTTCCACAAAATTTTAATCTGGGCGCCTCATCGTGGTATGGAAGTGACAACGGGCCAGGTAGGATTAATCGGTGTGGGGTATTAAATCCGAGGCACGGGTATAATCCCTCCTCCCCCATGCCGATTCCCGGGCGATTCTTGGCATTCCTAAGTAATTTGCATGTTTGTTGCTCGAAATTTGCATAATGCTTCGTTGCCGTAAAAGTATATTTAAACAGCTCGATCGGGTGGTTTTTATTATTTCTTGTGTTTAAGCTCGTCATATAATACCCGATTTAGTTGGTTTCTTTGTGTTGGGATCAGGATTGACCTCGATCCGGGGGATATGTTGTTCTGCTTGGAGGATTTATAACTTTTACAGCCGTTCGACCTTTCCAGTTTTTTTGACCGATGCTAAATCGTTTGATGGTCAGCTTACTGGCGATCCTGGTATTTTTTAATCTCCCTCAAAAGAGATCTTATCAGCTTGGTGGTCGCCTGG